TTTGGTAAATAATTAGACGATTTCTGCTTGTATGCAAGTATACATTTGTGTGCACATGTGTTCGTGTTTGTATGCGCTCTTGAAAGACAGTTTGCATCTGGTGGCCAAGTAGGAGGCTTGCTGTACGGGCCGAGATGTTCTTTTCTCCCCCAAATCTGTATGGCAAATGCTACGGCCGTATCTTGTTGCGGGTGGTGTGGGGTGAAGCGGAGCGGCTGAGGGCCGTTTGCATGCGGAATCCGCTCGCGATGGGGTCAGATCACAATTTGACAATCGATCGGTCTGCATTGAGGATCTGCCTTGTCTCAGAGCAAGGCGCGGTTCCTTCGCTCAGTCGAACAGGAACGACGTAATTACGTTGTCCTATTTTGCTCTCCTCTTCGACAGTCCCGACCGTCCCTGAGGGACTCGCACTCAGCGCCGGCCTCGTCACCTCCACGTTTTAAGCAGCACAAGGCTCCAGAAGACGTCAGACCCTCTATCGTGCTTCCTCCACCACTCACAAGCTACACACACACACACACAGTCAAATACATATATTCATACACACACATACAGACACAGATTTACATACTTACACAGGACACTGCGACTCGTCGACAAACCAGCAAAGAGGAGAGGCCTCAGAGCAACGGTCGTCTGCTAGACCGTCGGAAAAGCCACGCGACTTCACAGACTGGACGAGGTGAAGAGGACATCGGCACGGCAGAAACCCCGCTCCGGCCCACTCCGGACTCTGCCTGGGCCAGGATTTGTGCAACCTGACCGCATCTATTGCCGCCTCGACTCAATCCATGGCCCAAAAGGTAATTCCAGCAGGCAAGCATGACTACAAGCCGAGAGTGTGATCGGGTTGAGTGAGCCTCGATACTGACAAAACATCTTGAATGGGAACTGTATTCAGTCTGTTGTGCCTAAGGCGATTGAAGGGATGATGGACGAATTTCCCCACAATTCCACGACGCAGTCTTGCTTCAAAAAAGGCCCTCTCATTGCCACCTAACTGCAGTTTATGCCTCACTTGGACAGGTTATACTACCTACTTCTCCTGAGCATAAGTAGTATGGTTGATTGTAGCGGAAAAATACAAGTTTGCCACACCGACGATCACATTAACGAGGCGTAATGTGGCAGCGGCCTAGTCCTGCTGAAAATTGATGTCTGTGCTACTCGTGACAGTGTGTCGTGGTGATGACAAGTCGAAGATTAATTCCGAGCAGTCCGGGTTCGAGTCCCGCTGGGGGTGCTGGTGAGACGAGTTCAGGCGAGGTCTGCGCTAGTCAAGTCGAGTCCAGCCGGAATAAGAGTGTCTTTTGTGAAGCAAGGCAATGTGAAATAAAGTGAAAACACGAGGCCTATGCATTGTATTGTATAAAATCTGAATTTCCAGTCCTTCATCACCTTCAACGAAATAGGCCGAACACCTGCCACAGAGACAAGAATGACTTCATATTGACTGGGCTTCGATACTGCCAGTGGATCTGGAGTAAAATCAGAATCTTCCCGTTGTCGGATTCTGTAATGAACAGCCAATTGGTGAATTTTTGCCGCAATCACATGAATCGGCCTCGGAATGTCATTGCATTTCTCTTGGCCTTGTTGCAAAAACGATATTCTCTTTCAGGCCGAACCGCAATTCAGATTTCCAGTTGGGAGAGCTGATGAGACATGGAGAGGGCAGAGCCTACAATTCAATCTGATGAAATTGACTGGCACTCATTGGCCTGATTGTCGCTTCGTCATTTATGCGACTTGGGATGAATAAAGTCCTCGAACGAGACCAAAATGATGCATCCACGTATTCCAGACAGAGCAGAAACATCTGTTCAAGGTCGTCATTGCTCTATGATCTTTCTTTTTCGACGTTATTCGATTCATCACTTCGAATACACAATTCCTGAGGATAGAAGGTGTCGAGGGTAAATTGGTTGAGTCTATTTACTTTTGCATTTTTGTCTTTTCCTTGCCTCTCAATTAGGCATTAATCTACAAAGAAGAGTCTGCTTTCGAGTAATCTCTTGATTTGTGATAAGTTTCATTTGGTGTAAAACCAATCTGATGAGAGGATCCCACCATAATTTGATGATTGATTTCTGTTGTTCTGAACACGTTTGATTTGTCTACAATCTTCAATTAAACATATTTCACGGAATATCCTTTTTGCTTTTGGAGGAAGACAAACCGAGCACTTGCACGTCAAGCCTTTCGACAGACTCATTCTCGATAAGAAGAGAAAATGGGTTCCGATGAATCTCCTGAGATCTCATTGTTAGAGGGACCTTCGTTTCGAATAAGAGTGCACAAAGAAGAGATTCGTTGGTCCATCTGACCAGATGAGGACGGATGAAACTCGTTCTACTGCAGCCGGTTGGCTTTGATACGAGATTTATGCTGACGCAAAGGCTCCAAGTAACCAATAATCCCGGCTTTAGGCATTGAAATGTCTGTAATGTGGGGATAACGCCACCTCGACTGATCATTCTTAAAATAAACCTTTGCCACATTTGCAGCGGAATAGAAGAAGACTGCCCAGGCAACCATGCCATGCAGAATGTTTCTGTGAGTAAAAGAAATCCAGCGTCGTCTTCTAGCCGGATCGACACTCAAAGCTCTTCAACACAGACTTTCCTTCGCAACGAAGCTCAGCTGCACAGTTGTAAACTAAACAACTGATGCGGAGAGAAATTTGGTTTCGACTAACCTCCTCACATAACCGCTACATGATCGTCTCCGTTTCGAGCTAATCAAAATGGATTGATATGTAGCGTAACTAATTCCATATCTATCCGTCTACATTCGGACGAATGCTGTATCAAGAGTCGATTGTAATGTGCAGCCCTTGCGAGAATGAGTTCCAGTTCTGTGGGTGTCTGTTGAACGGCGTGGCTGGCAATTGGTCTCTTATAATTTGGGCTGAGTTCCGCCTACTTTGCTTAACGTCAAAAAAGGGGGCTGGTAGTTGCATTTTCCAGCAACCAAATGAATAGATCGCACATTTGCATTCAATTTCCCATGGCCTTGTCTTGCCCAACGGTTTTCTCATTCACGCACAAGTCAAGTACAACCAGGAATTCACCAGCGGGACTCGAACCACGACAGTTTAGCTACATTTACAAAAGTACCCCGGCTCAGAGGGCACATGTGCATTTGAAAGAGGGCCAGGCATCTTTGCATATCACATTCTGTGGTGGGAATCGGTCGCCTTGTCATCTTACACAAAAAACGGTTGAATTCGTCTCACATTTCGACCGACTGCTTCCATAGTTTAGCCGAAGGTGTGAAGACCAAGTTGGTGTGGCCTTTTGTTGTCCCCTTTGCGTGCACGCCTGTAATGGGTGGGACGGAGAAAAGTGAAAGTAAGTATGGATCCAGGCGGCAGGAGGGTGGGCCGAGGATGTGCTGGCGCGACTGCACAATCACGACTGTCAAGTGATGCTCTTTCGGAGTAAGACGTAGCCACTTGATGAGGCTTTTCTCGCCTCTTTGGCATGACAACTGAAAAAGTTGAGCGACACAATCATAAGAGCGTCGCTAGACGCAAATTTCCTCTTCTCTTTTTGGCTGTGACAACTTGAAAAGAAACCCGATTTGCTTGTTCGCCGCCGAAAGCCGGTGGTTCCAGTGCGATTCCGACGACTGCACAACCCTCAGCCTCTCAAGGGCTCGCCCCGGCGGCAGGTTGGAGGAGTACATGTCGGGTGCACAACGCGTCGTTCGACAAGCCCCTCAGCAACTATCCAACATGGGACCGAGTTGCCGAGCCGACGGACAGAAGACGGTCTAGTGGCTCCAAACGATGCCCTGCCCTGTCCCGACCCGGAATGGTAGTTGGGCGAGTGTGGAGGGAGGGGGGCGTCGATCGGAACCGGCCTCTCCGCTCGGGCTGGGCGACAGGGTCGGCGAGGTCGAGGGGCCAAGTTTCGCCGAAAGGCGCCAAGAGACATTCAACAAATGTCGTCTTGGCAGGTCAATTGGCCAACAAGCCGATCTCGCGCCCATTCGCCCATTCGCCCATTCGCCCATCGACGTCGACCTCATGCAGCCCCACCGTCCAGATTGGACAATTGGGACAAGTCGCCCGGACACAAAGCTCGTCCACATCGTCTACGTTGCACCAATCAATCAGATCTCCCAGGCTCATTCAACTTTATTTTTAGAATTAAGTATAGTTTTCGTGAATACCAGTAAATCAGTAGTATGAGATGTATTCGCCCAATTTCGTGTAAGGTGATGAAGGACTGGTAGAAGAAGAATGTTTCCACAATGATATGAGTTGAGCTGACGTTTCAATTGAATTTCACATAGCCTTGCTTTCTCAAAAGTTGTTCTCATCCACGATAAAGTGGACTGTAGTTTCGACCTCGAATTGGTCTTATCAACACCCCCAGCGGGAGTCGAACAGTGACAGTGCAGAATGGCAGCTTGACACGTTGACCACTCAGATACATTGCCACGAGTGCCTCTGGGCCACAGGGCAATTGTGAATTTTCAAGCAAGGCCAGGCCTTGTTGCAATATCATATTCTTTTGGTGGAATTGTCGATGAAGCAAACGTATATTTGCTATAACAATCGACTACTAAACTTTATTTTTCGAATCAAGTATTGTTTACATTACTAACAGTAAATCAGTAGTATGAGATGTATTCATCCTATTTCGTTTAAGGTGAGGAAGGACTGGAAGAAGAAGAATTTTCCCATAATGATATGAGTTGAGCTAAAGTTTCCATTCAGCTCAACTCATATAATCCTGGGAAAGTTCGTCTTCTACTAGTCCTTCATCACGTAGCCTTGCTTTCTTAAAAGTTGTTCTCATCACCTTAAACGAAATTGGGTGAATATATTTCATACTACTGATTTACTGGTACTCACGAAAATAACATTTTATTCGATAAATATAGTTTAGCTGACACATGTGCAAGGTTCGATTAAAAAGTGACTTTGAAAAATGGGAATGTGAATTTAACTATGAGGTGAAATCTCATCTCATCTCATCTCATCTCATCTCATCTCATCTCATCTCATCTAATCTCATCTCATCTCATC